CACCCCAGGTGACAGGTCCTGTTGCTGGGGCACAGATGAACACTGGGAGGCAGATGGAGAAGGGCTTCCCACATCAGTCTGAGAGTTAGTGAAGAGAATCAAAGGCTTTGAGGAGGGCAGGACTCTTGGACTGGCTGGAAGGGAACCTACCAGCCCTTCCTCCAAGTGGGCTTCTGAGGCAGGAGCACGGAGAGCTGCTAACCCTAGTGTTCTGAAGACAGGCCCGCACTCCTCTTCACCCGGCCAGGCAGGGCTCAGAAGCTGGCTAACTCCGGCGTCTGAACTACTGTCCTCAGAGTGCTCACCTCCACCTCACCCTGTGGCTCACCTAGACCCAGGGCTGGCTGTGCAAAATCGTGCTCAGGGAAGGGCCAGTGGAGAAACCTTTGCATCAGTTTCCTGGGTCTTCATCCCAGCCAGTCAATGTCATCGTCATCGTCATCATCACCAAAAAGTGGTGTTGGGGGCGGGCGTCCCTTCATGCTCTGACAAAACAGGAAAGAGTAGTCAGTCCTCACTTGTTCCTGCACCAGATGGACTTCCCACCTGTGTAAGGTGAGTCAGCCAACATGAGCTGCAGCTCCACGCTGGACAGGTGGTGGCTGGTTAGGGTTTCACTGCAAGGACTAACCTTGAGGCCAGCAAACCTAGGCTTCCAGATAAAGCTGAGACAAGCAGGCAGAGAAGGGAGGCAATCCTTCAACAGAGACAAGAAGACCAACTTTGTTTGGCTAATTTTGTCATTTATTTGTGAAACACGTGTATTGATTTGACAGGTTTCCTCTCATGCAGCAACTTACATATTTCATGTGGGGAAAGAAGGGTCGAAGGGGAGAGAAAGGAACAGAAGTAGAGTGGCCCTAAGGAAAGAGAGGGTGCAGGAGGATGAAGGGACGTAGGGAAGAATACAAGCACATCTGAAAAAACACGGTTGCTGCCTAAGGTGTCCTGTCTGGCTCTGAACATGGCCCCATCTGAGAGAGAGTCAAATTTAGAGGTTTGGCCACATTCCCAAATGGAGAATCCCACGAGATGAAGAAAACCCAGGAACACAGGGCCACAGCTTCCCACACCCTGGTCTCACTGGCCCTTCCTTCCTCCCTCCGACCAGGGGGATACGGGCCATTGATGGGCCAATGCAAGATTGGTGGCCTCCTTTTCATGGCTTGAGCTCCTGGCCTTTTTCTTCTGGAACAGGTCCCATGGGGGCAGCAGGGACTGACACTAGAGACAGGCACACATTGAGTCTTCTCTGGCCCAGGAGCTGACTTCACAGGGCCGGCCAAAGGGAAGGCAGTGTGATGTGGTCAGAGGTCCCTGGGTTAATTCCATCCCCACCACCAATGAAGACTTTATACCTCTCTGGGCATCGGTCAAGTGATCTCTAAACTTTGACAGTACAGGATTTAAAAGTGTGGCTCACTGCTTCTGTTTTGTTCCGGCTAAAGTTCTGGCTCTACATTTACCAGTTACATAACCTTGGACCAGCTATATAACCGTGGANCTCTCTTCTGATGACTGTTCCTCACCTCACTCCCAGCTCCTGGGAGCTTTCAGCTGAAGCCAGCACTTGATCCCTGGAGTTCAGAGGCCATTGCAGCTACCTCTCCTCAGAGAGACAGCCCAGGTGTAGTCTTGTTGTGCCTCGGAAGGCTGCTGTGACCAGCAGAATGGAGAGACCACCACCCGGGGGAAGGATTGTTGAGCCCATGATGACTTAACTGTCTGACTCAAAACGTACGAATTTCCAAAGATCTTCAGGACCGGGAGATGGGTTCTGGGTGACGGGCACAGAACCTGGATACACTTTGCTTTCCTGATTTGTGCCTTATCTAGAGGAGTATCTTCTATTGGACTTTCTGACCTCCTCTGTCTTTGGGGGACAGAGACCAAGCTGGCTTTTTTTTCTCACCTTTCTGCCTTTGGAACATGTGAAGATTATCTCTTCTGTGTATCATGCTGACAAACAGATTTTTCATCTTTTTCCGCTGAACTCCTGGTTGGCAATTGCACATTAATACAACATTTTTAATGAAATGACTTCATTTCATTCATGATAGATGGCAGCATCTGCTGGGGCCTGCTTCCCTTTCTTGGGGGAGAGTGACGGGTTAAAGGCAGAGAAGCAGGACTGTTATTAAGGTTCTTCTGGATGGAGTGAGGTCCTCCCATCAGACTGCACTGACTGCCGGAGGAAGATTTACCGCAGGTGTCTGGGAACTCGTCATGGCCTTAATGCCCCCTTCTATCCTGATCCTCCTCCTATGCAGAACGGAGAGCTGCACTGAATAACGTTCAATATTAATGTTCTCTATTTCTTACCTACTGCTCACCCCTAACAAATATGATTCATTCACTAAAATAATGACTAAGCCACAGGGGGGTACTGATTGAAGATGCAATTAAGCAGCTGTATAATAAACCAAATAAACCAATAAACCAAAGCATTACATTTGTAGAGTTAGAGTAACTCTCCAGATATTTAAACCTCTTCACTTTACAGAAAAAGAAACAAGAGACCCAGGGAGGAAAAAAACATTGCTGTGTAATGTAATATCTATGCTTAAGTACCTCATGGACTAGATGAAAGATGGTCTTAAGCTTTGGAATTTAAAAAGAAACACATTTTAATAAATATATATTTTTAAACAGTGTGTGATCCTTATGTTTCTTCTCAAAGAGCAAGCACACGTAACCCTTATAACACCTGCAGGAGCTGAATGGGGCGAATGGAGCTGGTAGTGCTGGCTGTAGAGCTGTCTGAAGACTGAGTCGGTCCATCTGCTATGACAGTGATACCTCTGTGCTCAGGGAAACCCAGTCCTGAAACACTGTGCCCGGGCAGGCACTCCACAATCCCAGCCCAAGCAAGTCACTCTTTGGTTCATGTAACAAATACTGATTGGGTGACTTGAGAAAAATAACTGTCACACGGACTATAAATACTTGTGTTGGCACAATTATTAGCACCTTCCCTCCCTGAGGGCAGAGGCAAAAATGTATCAAAACCATGTTTTAACTTACATGAAGAAGTAACTGTAACAGTAACAGTGTGTGACAACGCCTTCAGGATTGATCAGTACACTCTCCCCACATGCAGGGAATTGTAAAGCTGCTGAATGTCACAACAGGTGTCAAGATT